ATATATATATTACACTGGATGTATAATTTACACTGGATGTATAATTTAAAACGTTTCCTTAGGTATCATTTTCAAGAAATCAGTAATGCAGATTTTACTAAAGCGGAGCCATTTCTAGTATAACAAAGATCACAAGCATGTGTAAGTGCCTCATGAATCTAGATAAAGGGCCCATTCAAATGTTGCCACTTTCGCGTGTGGCATTAAAACACACATAGGAAAGAATTTTCCAAAACTGGAGCAGACAGAATCTGAAGCAGTTGCCCATAGCAACCAATCAGCTTCTCTCTTCAGTTTGTTCAGTTAAGCTTTGAAAATAAAAAGGTAGAAGCTGATTGTTTGCCAAGGGAACCAGCTCCATATCATTTCCAGTTTTGATAAAGCCCCCCAATTGTGTCTAGCATCAACATGTGCTGCACAAGTATGCACAAAAGAAAAGGCATGCAGCACATTTTTTGACGCAGTGTTCCACAGTGCACTGTATTGCATTATTGTACATTGTGCACCGCAATGCATGCAGCTGTGTCCTCTTGACGCCGCGACACATAAAGCACCGCATGGCAAAAGTGTGCTCCAGCCCTTAAAATGATCCTAAAGCCTACTGGCACCCAACCGCAATCTCTATCCAATAATCAAGCTGCTAAAAAGATGACAATTATGTAAATCCTGATATTTTAGATTGTAAGCTCTCACGGGCAGGGCCGTCCTTACCATCTTGTCTTGATTTGTATTGTAACTGTAATGTCTTCCTTATATTGTAAAGCGCTGTGAAAACTGTTGGTGCTTTATAAATGCTATATAATAATAATATCTGGACTATTCTTGGGTGTCCTCACAAATATCTTACACAGATAAGTCCTTGCTGAAGCTTCTCACCTTGTGATGCGATACAGCATTACCATGGTAAGATCTGACCACAGATATGCCGGTTTATTTATGAAGTGGTCACTAAATACAGCCACAAATGTGACTCTTGACCGGTGTAATTCTGTAGTTAAATTATTAAGAACGTCTGTCAGCAAAAGAAAGAGGGAAAAGAGGTTGCAGAGACGACGATGCAAGGAGCCTGTGAGAACATTCCGGAACTCACCTTTAAACTGAAGAACGTTGTCTGTGATGCTGATATCTGGATTCTGCAAAACAAAAATATATTAATTGCATCACCTTGGTATATCTTTATACTACATCAAGTATATTAGCCAACTTTGCACAGTCCTGGATTTCACTGGATACAGGATTGACCAGAAGTAGGCAACCTCGGCACTCCAGCTGTTTATATAATACAATTATATGCAATACATCAGGGGTAGCCAAACTCCGGCCCCCCCCAGCTGTGGGGGGGGGGGGGGGGGGGCAGC